GGTCGTGCAAAGAGTCTGACGACTAACCATTTCACCTACACTGGCCTGACGTTGATGTGTGGGGGAGGGGGACAAATCAGTACACGAAAGCCGTCATTTTAATTGAGTCGCTTTCGGATGAGAAACCTACGAGTTCAGTACCAAGAAAAACGGTTACTCAAGATACCTTGTTTGAACCTATGCTTTCGAAATACCCAAAACGTAAATGTTGCTTACTTTCCTGCAACTTTTAACATCGAGGAAGTAACTCTAAGGTTTCGTGCTGCACAAGCTATTGAAGCTATGCTCATAGGAAATGCATGAACGCAGCACAAGTACCACCAAGACTACCACCGTCACAGAAAAGCAATACAGACCAGGTGCAAACTATATTGTTATTAGGAAGACGTGCGAAGTGTGGAATACACTTTTTTCTCTCACACTAATGGCAATAATTTGGCTTGCCCACAGCAAATCTTGCTTGGCTGAGACCTCCTGCAATGTTGTTCCCACTGCCCATGCTACCTCATAAAACGTCCTTTAATGACAGTGGTTTCCATTATTTAAAACGAACCGGCGAAATTAGCTGTGCAGTTGTTGCATGCAAACGTCTGCACTGGCAAAAAGGTTTTCGGGTCACAAAATAAGCTTACCAGAGAGGTAAACGGGAAAGGATGTTCTTGCTACTGTTTCATCACGAAAGATTGCTTTTCGCAAGCAGTTGTTGAGTTTCGTGAAACAGTTATAATAGGCGGCTTAGAGTTGGGCGAAGAGGAGTTTTGTAGCCTCATTTTTTTACGGAGATGGGATCCGCAATTGAGTCGTGGCCGAAGGCGAATATAACAGGTAGTCACGCGTGTCGCAACAGGCCAAGCCAGCTAAGAAATCAATATGGACTACCAGAGAGCCAATCAGCGTGTGTTGGTGCGTTGTGTACAAGCGAAGCCTTTGCCTAGGCCTGCGGGCCAAATATTCGAACTCCAGAATGCCCCAGAACGCTCTCTGCGATCGGCACGTCCTTAGCTAGAATGTTCGAGAATGGCTAGAACTCCATCAAATAGATGAGAGCTGATGAGCTGGAGGATCCGCTGTGTCTGTAGGCTTAACACAAAGTGGTTGTCTTCCAGAAACCCGCTTTGCATTCCCTTCTATCACTCCAGTCGCGATTGAATCCATTCATTCACCTCTCTTGTGAAAAGTGTGGCCAAGCTCTGTCTTAGCAAAGAATTTAATCTCTTTGATTTATGAATGCTGCATGTTTGTTGCATAACTTCTCGTAGATTGCGTGGCTTCCGTAGGAGGACTAAGCTGAAGCGCTGGATTCATCAGAAGTAAGGAAGATGTAGTAGGTGAGATCAACTGCAGTTTACTAAACGGTCACCATGATGTGTCCTCGGACACAACTTCAGTTTGGAGAAGAGTTTTTGCACTTCAGCGCTGTGGAGCCATCTTTGCCGATTGGTAGCAGTTTTAGAACAGGATATGTTTTTCATCGCAATTAATAATCCTATTAAATTATGGATCCTTATCGTTGTTTGAAGCATTTGTTCCCAGGTAAAACTGTAAAACAAGCGAAAACAGCAGAAGAGCATATCAAATGCTACCTCTCTTTGCATGAATAAGATAACAATTGGAGAAGACAACATTTTGAATTTTCACCAAATCAATAATAGCAAGATCATGCTTAACGCCGCGCTGCGAATGACCTTGCTAAAAACCGGATGGAGGATTTCCATTATTTTTAAATGACCGGACAATCAAGCATTGGAAGTAATCTCCACCGATTACCAGTTTTGGCTTATTGGCTGCCAGCAACCGGGAATAGCGCCCTACCAGATGCTAGCACACCCCGAATTTTGAACTTGTGTCTAGTCGGTGTTCGAGCATTTAAGTCCTTCCCAGGGTTGCCAGGCTGCACAGGCGTTCTCACGACTAACCGCCAAGGCTTGTTTGCGTGCATAAACCAAGTAGCTGAAAAGGTACTTACTGATGGATTTCTTTTCTTTCACTTGCAGCCCTCGTAAACAAGGGCAACGTTCTGTTCAAACAGAAGCTCTACGAGCGGGCTCGGGACTGCTATCGAGAGGCCCTCCAGGATGATCCAACCTGTGTGGAAGCGCTTTATAATTTCGGTTTAACTGCAAAGCAGTTGGATCGACTTGACGAAGCGCTGGATGCCTTTTACAAAATCCACGCAATCCTCCGCAACAATGTCCTTGTCATGTATCAAATGATGGACATCTACGAGAAGATGGAGGACACTGCACAGGCCCAAGACTGGTTGTTACTCAATCCAAACTTTGCCCTCCATTTTGTACTCTTAATTCAGAGGTTGGATGATAGCTTTTGGCAGGCAGATGTCCTGTCCATGGAAAGCCCACGACATCTTTTTACTCTCCTGTTAATAAGCGGAAAGAGGATTAACAAGAAGTTGATATCATAAAAAACAGAGAAACTGGACCTAATTTGCTAGTCAAAGGCGGGCTTAGCATTCTTCTAGCATATATAAATCAATCATATGCACTATAGTGCGTGGGAATTTTATTCGACCACATCAAACTAGTCACTTCCGACTTTTAAACTGGTAAAAAATGCGTACAGAAGTCATCTTTACTGGAAGTTAATGATACACAGAAATCCTCTTGGGACTGATTTGCAGTTTAGATTTTACGTTACACCCAAGAAAGGCAAAAGTGAGGACTTATCCTTGCCTCATACAGGAAGATACTAAGACAGTCAGTAGAAAATCGTGATTTTTGTTTCGAGTGGAAGAGGATACCTTGGAGTGTTTTCGCGAATAAACATATCCGCCATTATTATTTTTAACTTTCATATGGGAAAATCGACACTTAGCTATGGTCTTTAATCATGGAAGTTTTTTTAAAACCAGCCCGTCCCCTTAGCACGCCAATCTGTATCTGGACGGAAGAGAAGGGCCATCTGTCGCACTCATATACATTATTGAACGTTTTGTTAATTGACCATGCCACTGCAGGGAGACAACACCAGAGGCATATACCGGTGTTTGTAGCCCAACTGTTCCACGGTAATCAATGCATCTGTTTTTGTGGCCCTCAAAGTTTCTTACTACGGTAAACGCCGTCAGTATGTTCGAAGACCTTTAGTAGACACTAGTAAATGTTGTCCACTTTAATTGCTTCAGAAATTAATGCACGGGCTAGGGGACAATCCTTCGAAACAATTTTTTGGCTAGACACGAAGGTGCAAGTGAGCCAAAATCCATCAGGTACTGTGAACTAACCACGTAATATTCATAAAGTACCATCAGGCAGTCAGCAGTATGCAATTAGTCACTGATAAACCACACTGACAGCAAAAGTACTAACTACTAAATGTAAATATGAACTATCTTTATGGCGCTCCCCACAAAAAAGCGTTATTTCATGGGTCCGCTGTGAAATGTACTGCTGCACTGAATGCATTTGTAGAATAACTTTCTCACAAGGGGTAATATAAAATATTTATAGGTTGCCATACTAGATAGTGCCGTTGTTCCTGAAATCTGACTGACGTGCAATGTTTTACTTTATCCCCTTCCTCTAAAGGTTTCTTCAAATACACGGTATCATCTCCTCTGATCCCTTTCTGCTGCAGCGATGCGGAGACAATTTTGAGAGAGCGGGCGACAAATCCCAGGCCTTCTCTTATTATTATGACGTGAGTTTTTTAACTCCCCTTCTGCTCGCCCTTTTGAACGTTTGCGCATGTTTATCGTAGAACCTATAAGATTGCATCAGCTTGTATGCCTGTGTTGTTTTGCGGGTTTTTCTCCCTAACGTTAACTTACAGTAACATTTATTTTACTTGTAGTCATTCAAGTACTATCCGTGCAACTTTGACGTGATTGAATGGCTCGGTGCCTATTACATCGAGTCACAGTTCTGCGAAAAATCAATTACGTACTTTGAAAGGGCTGCGCTTATGCAGTGAGTACCATGTTTTACAATTGAGAAATATTTTTTTTGACTTGCTTTGGATTCGGCAGAAAATTTAAAATGCTTGCTTGCGGCTCTTTGCTAATCTAAGGCTCAGCCATGTCGTCACCCGCAGCATTGATAGGCCCATATCGTAACTTGTATAAAAACCTAGATAATACATTACATTCCTCAGACAATAGAAAGTCAGCCAATTACGACTAGTGCATTTGACAGGCTAATCTACCTCATCCATCTCAGCCTTGTACAGCGAAAGA